AACGTATTATGATACAGAATGTGATATAATCCATATTTTACCTAGCGTCCAAATTTCCATCCATCAATAATTTCGCCCCGGTAAAAAGTAACTTGTCTCTGACGTCCCTTGGCAAACTCAAAGTCTGCTCTGGTCCTATTCGATCGACCACAGAAGCTAATAATCTGGCTGTAGCTGCTCTCACTATTGCATTCTGATGACTAAACAAAACAAAGTAATAAGAATATTTTTATTACATTGTAAAATGAAAATCGTGTGCGATAAATGAAATAATAAATAATTTACCTAGCACCACGTTGTACGATGATGGTAATTGTTTTGAAAGGCGGAAGGTGTTCGATCATTCGATCCAAGGCCGCGTTACAATCCGCTCGTAGGAATCGATTCGTGTCTGCCGTTCTGTGCAGCAGAGGTGCGGCTATATCGTCGAAATCCTGTGAGTGATACAGAATAAAGTAACGAAAAAAGATTAAAGAAGTGTTATCGATGATTTACCTGGTCTATGCCACGAATTTGAGAAGCGAAAATGTCGCCGGCGGCAAGACAGGCGGTTCGCGCTACCTGCGATCGGAGACTTTTTATCAGTCGACCTAAATGGCGGCATATTATTCCCGCGGCGTACGTGTCTAAATATTCTGATTGTTGTTTTGCAATCTGCATCAACGTTTTTAGCCCTTTCACAGTAATCTCCCTGTGCGAAAAATTAAACGTTGGCTATGAACTGTTTAATTATAAAAATATGAATTTATATCATTTTCTCTAGAAATAATTCTCTAGAATTAATTCATAATTCAATATTTGATCAAGTGGGGAGATATCTTCATAATTTGCAAAAAAGTTCATTTTTTTACGTAAAATGTTAGTCAAAGATGTATAGAATATCGTCTCCGCACTTATTGTTAGCTGCATTATACATACGAAATATGCCTACCAGTCTTTGTCTTCAAGTTGAGCAAAACATTGTTGTACTATGGGTTTCAGCTTCTCAGTTTTTTCTACTTTTCCTCGGCTTCGAGATCTACCTATAACGCGAGGAACTCTCGAAGGTTTCCGTTTGGTGGTAGCGATCGGTTCGGTAGGTTGAGGCTGAATACAAAGATTATTAAATACATTTGAAAATAATATTTATCGAAAGAAGCAACAAATTTATAAATTTCGATACCTCAATTTTCAAAATTCCTGGTTCCGTGTTCGTCTCACTGGAACTATCTTTGTTTTGTCCTTCTGAACTGATATTTTCAGTAGACTGGTTAACGAACTGAAATGAAATATTTTAATCAACAGTACAATGTATAAAAATAATTTATTTAAAATCGTTTATATAAAACGAAGGAATCTTTACGTCTATATTAAAAGATACAATATTTGTGTAATAACTTACCCTTAGAGGATTATCGTTCTCTGTTGGTTGACTGGTAGATTCCTCGTGATTTTCAATACAATCAGAATCCTCGGTGGAAGAATGAGGTCTGGAGGCGATGATTATAGCGGGCGACTCTTCTACTAGCGATTCCCTGCGAGACCTAAATGTTACCTTCTCAATGTCGCATTGCACTTGCATAGAAGAAACAACTCTATCTTCGCTAGAATCGTCGGACTCCTTATTGTCAATTGCTGCTATCTCAAAGCTCTGAAAGATCGGAGTACAGAAAAGCAATATGAATTCTCAGAATTTTACAAGATCTTTCTTCTGATTAGTCAAATTAACATTTACTATGACTTTTAAAAAAAATTAAAGAAAATTAAGTTTTACGCGAACGTTCTTAATGACAGCGTTAAATTTTATTTCAATCAACCAACCAATTTTCTCGAGCTACTTCGTGAACTGTGTCTTGGAGATTTCATCGTCTCAAAATCGACGGAATTTCTACTCGCCGAACGGCTCGATCTTCTCGAACCAGCAGATCTTTTCGAAGGCAACATCGTCTCCGTATTCTCGAAATCTGAATTTGACATATCGCCAGGCGTTTGCAAGTCCTCGCCCGCAGGTAGAAAAGATATAATGGTTCTCTCTTGTACGTCTTCCAGCGGCTCATCCGTTTTTCCGGTTTCGTCGGAGGTGCTCAATTCGCTCTCGTTCCGATTATCTTCGAGGTAGTTCTCTCCCAAACTTCTGGATGGTGCACGGCTCTGATTCTTTGACTTTGGTTCCTCTTCGCTGCTCCACTCTCGTGACCCATCGTCATCGTTCGTCGCATTCGCTCCCGTCTTGACCTTCTGGCTCAACGAAATCTAAAACAAAATTCTTATTGAATGAATTAACACTCCGGAAGAGGAAAAATGTTAGGTTCCATGATGTAACAGCAAAGAAAGATTAACAGAGGAGCATTAAATTCAGTGATAAATATATTGTACACTTGAATTCATAAAAAATGATGTTTCATAAAGAATCATTGTTTGAAAGTATACTTACGATAAAATCAACGGTATCCCGAGCGAGTGGACTCGATTGACCAGAAATAATATCGAATGCCGAATCCGGGTTTGGTCTATCAGGGGTGGACGATCTGTAATCGCAGTCATCCCGACTGTTTTGCACCTCTTGTTCGGTATCGTGAAAATGATTTTCTAACGCATCCGATGATGAATATTCATAATCATCCACTAAAAATAAATTATAAAGATAAAATGAAATGAAATTAAGTGTATTATTTACTAATGAATTGCATGTGTTTCATTTAATGAACTTAAGGACGTTTGCAAACAGCAGAACCGAAATATAAAACTGAAAAATAACAATTATAGAATCGATACAATATTGGTTCTGAAGAACCGAAACCGATGTAAGTTAGAACCAATACGTATGTGTATCTAATAACAGTTACAACATTTTTTCGGTTCTCCGTAACAGTTTCGGCCAGAACCGATACATATGTAAGTTGCGAACAATTATTTTCGGAATCCTTTCAATCCGTTGTATGTACTCCTGTTGAAT